ATACAAAATAAAGATCTAATATGCGTACTAAAACCATGAGGGGTTGGGGTTGGGGTTGGGGGGGGGTCCCAACCTTCTAATTTGGGTACAGACATCCGGCTTGGGTTTGAAAAACATTCCCATTTATATATTGAATTGTGCGAAAATCCCTTCCCATTCATATATTTCATGAGGAAATCACAACCCATTTATATATATTTCCCAGCTATCATGACATTTGATTTCAATGAGATGTTAAACACATTGGATCTGTGATTCATTTTTTGAGATAAAAAGATCTATGCGTCAGTGTGAATATACTCAAAATGAGTCCTACATTTAACCAGAAGAAGAAGAAGAAGAACACAGTTTTCACAGACATCTTAAAATTTCTACTAATTGATATATTAATGGCCCCCTCCCCTCCCCTACATCCGCTTCTGCTGTTATAATCATTTTCACTTACATTAAACGAGATCTATATAGATAAATCGATAGAATTGCTGGTGTTTAACACCACTTCCAGCCCCTTGTCCACATGTTGCCGGCCAATTTTTTATTTGAGGATGGAGAGAGAGATCGGAGTCGAACGCACCTTGCCATGAGTGAGGATCGAACTCGAAACCCCTAGTCTATATCATTAAAACTTGGAAGTCGCAAGCTGGTATAAGAGCTTAGTACTGATGTTAAAACAAACTTATAAAACCCTTGTCATTGAATGGAACCACCTTTTACCTGTCTTTTTCAAGGATATTTCCTTTCGCGGGATTTCTTATTTATAATTTTTCATGTTCGTTCAGTAATGAAAGGGACATAATTCAACTTAATTTTATTAAAGAAAATCAACTAACGTGGGTTATTTCCCTTACACTGTACACAATAAAGTGAAATTTGCCCCTTTTCATAAATGCATTTAAAATTTTTGACTGAGTTTGATTGTCTTATCAAATAAGTCTCTTAATATAAGTATCTGGGACCTAGGAATAGTTATGATACCAATTTGAGTTCCCAGCTGGTACCAAAAAAAATTAGTATTAGTCCCATCATTTTTTTTTATCCCATTAGGTATTGAGGAACAGACCTATATATATGTTCCGGACCATATAAGTATTATTTTCGTTTGGTTATTTATAAGCCGGACCATATGATTATTTAGACCATATAGGTATTTTTCAAATAAATTCTATTTACTTTCGCAGGAACACACAGCTCATTAATATAGCCATAATGAAAGGACTTTATGTAGTTAAAACTTGTGCATTCCACAGCAGTATTTTAGAAAGTTTTATATATTAAAGCAATGGGTTTTGATCCTTTATCTTGAAAATGAAACTCTTCTTCTGTTTATTACCAGACTATATGTATTGTGTTTTAAATATATTAATAAGGCATTCACTTCTTATAAATAAAGGTCTTAATTCCTCTTCCATGATGAATATGTTTACCAGATTAAAAAATATATATATACAGCGTATTTCATTGCTGACGAGATCTTCACCTGAATTCTTTGTATTTGATTGAATTAGTCTGAAATATTCATTCATATTCTGGATTCTTGACCCAACTCAGGACTTGGTGTGAATTATTTGTCAATTATTAAAGACTATAATGACCTCATAGTCGAATAGGGTGCTCAAAACTAGGGAGAGATTGTTTAAGTTAACTCTTGGTGTTTGATCAAGCCAAGCACTTTGCATTTAACTGTAAAAACAAAGATAAGTAAGCTCAGAGAAAACAAATGTTTTGGTAATATATCTGGGATACATTCGTGATAATTGTAAAGTGTTCAATATTAAGAGGCATTATTCCTGATTGATAAACGTTGAAGAAAAGTTCTTACAAAAACCTAAATTTTTAAGGTTTTCAGTTTTCAAGGGTATGTACAACTTCTAACAATTCACCTTTACTATATGGTTAGGTATGGGTATGCCAAATTAAAAGTCAAATTTAGCTTCTGTGTGTAATTGCTTTAAGGGAAAAAGGTATCTGTGCAGTAAGGGCCCTATAGGCCCAAAATACGTAGTTCATTATTTCTAGATGAAAAGTGTTTCAAGTTGATGTATATATGTGTGAGAAAGTGAAACTGAATGATTTTTATCACAAAACTTTGTCAGTTACACCCCAATTAGGTCAAAATAGAATTTTTTGAGAAAGTTGACAAATTCTTCAGAATTTTTACCATTTTTGGGACTAGGAAACATAGAGCGCAGGGTTAGACAAACTCAATATTCAAGTCAAATAGTTCATGTTTTAAATAAACTGTTGACACAGAGATATGTCTTGCCTTTTCCTTTAGTAATTTCGAGAGTATAATGCAAATATTGAATCCAAATGGCAATGTTAAATAAACTGTTAATACAGAGATATGTCTCACCTTTTTGTTATTTTGATAGTAAAATGCAAATGTTGAAATTAAAATAGCAATATTTTAACATGTAAGTTATGCAAAATATTCAGGTGTTCAAAGTCAATGAACCATGACTGAAGGTACAGGGCCAAACAATCTCCATGGAAATGAGATGTGCCAATGCTACTACATATGCATACCAAATATCATTGACTTACACTAGTGGTTCCCCAATAACTGACCTAATCATAAACTAATATATGTAAACTTAGCAAAAGTTTCAAAGTTAATAGACCACGACTGAGGGGTCGGTAACAAACAATTTCCATGGAAATGAGATGTGCAAATGCTAATACAACTGAATGCTAAATATCATTAACCTACCACTAGTGGTTCGCTATAAACTGACCTAATCACAAACTAGTACAAGTAAACGAAGCAAAAGTTTCAAAGTCATTAGACCATGACTGAGGGGGCGGAGCCAAATAATCACCACGAAAATGAGATGTTCAAATGCTTATATAACTGTATACCAAATATCATTGACCTACCACTAGTGGTTCCCCATAAACTGACCTAATCACAAACTAAAACATGTAAACTGTGCAAAAGTTTCAATGTCAATAGACCACGACTGAAGGGGCAGGACCAAATAATCTCCATGGAAATGAGATGTGCTAATGCTTATACAACTGCATACCAAATACCATTGACCTACCACTAGTGGTTCCCTACAAAACTGACCTAATCACAAACTAACACATTGTTGCCACCACTGCCAACACTGGAAACAGCATACCTATGTCTCATTTTATGACTCAGTCAAGGCAAGACAAAAATTTAAAATATGCAAAACATTCACAGTCAATATAACATGACTGAAAGTCCAGGACCAAATAACCTCCATCAAAATTAGAAAAATGCCAATGCTTATAAAACTGCATACCAAAAACAATTTTTCCTTATCACTAACAAAAATACAAACTTTATCTTGTTAACAATGTAAAAAAAATCCAAGTCAATGAACCCTGATAAGGGATGGCGTCAAATAATCTCCATGGAAAAGAAGACTTGCAAATGCTTATACTATCATTGACTTAACATGTAAACTATGCAAAACATTCAAAGTCAAAAGACCATGACTGAGGGGGCGGAGACAAATAATCTCAATGGAAATAAGATTTGCCAATGCTTGTGCATCTGCATACCGAATATCCTTGACCTACCACAAGTGGTTCCCCTTAAACTGACCTAATCACAAACCATGTTAAGCAAAAGTCAATAGACCATGACTGAGGGGACAGGGCCAAATTATCTCCATGGAAATGAGATTTGCCAATAATAATACAACTGCATATCAAATATCATTAACCTGCCATTATTGGTTAACCATAAACTTACCTAATCAAAATCTACCGGTAATACATTGTTGACTGCCGCTGACGCCGCCAACACGGTCAGAAACAGCATGCCTAAGTCTTGCTTTTTGACTCCGTCAAGGCGAGACAAAAACTTAATGTAAAGAAGTTTCCCAGTCCTCAGATGTAAACTCTCATATTTTTTGTCCTAGCTTTTTTATTCTTTAGACATCTCTTATGTGTTCTATTTCTTTTTGCTCTGGTGAGTTTTATTCAGTCCAAATTATTTGCCCTATTTTCTGGCAAGTTATCTAAAAAATATCTGATGTGCCTGTGGTTGCATTGTTTCTATATTTCGCAATGAGATTGTCAGACAAACATCAACAGTATTGTTGGACTTCTTTACCAGTTAAAGATTGTAACTTCTTTTAAGCCTGTATCTGTGTTCTTCAATGCCTAGATGTATCTTGATCTACATTTGGCAAAGAATTCCACTCAAACTGGTGCTAAGGGACTAAGTGGGGTAATATGTCTGGGATACATCCATGATAACTGCCCCTAAGTCATGGTCTATTGACTTTGAAACTTTTGCTTACTTAATAGGTTAGCTTTAATTCTATGTGCAATTATTATCATAATATTATTAAGTATTTTTACATTATTTATTGCATTATAATTGAACTTGCATAGAGGTGTGAGCTTTGCTAGATGTTGAAGGCTTTACCCTTAAATGTGATTTTTGAGAAGAAAACATCTATAGCATTGTTGTTCCTTTGCTATTGTCCAGTGTGTGTAGAGATTTGTGAATTAACACACCATATCCCATCTTTTACATTAGTTTCTATATTACTTATCAACTTCAAGGTAAGTCATAGTTCCATGGTTAGTATATTAGATTTTCTGCAGAAAAATATCATAAAATGTCGGTCATGAGTCGAGCTATGTTTTTTGGGGCATATCTTTTTTAAACTAAAAGCAGCAAACAAGCCAAAAATGTTCATATCATGGTAAGGCAACAGATATTTTAAACATCTATAGACTAATTTATTTATTACAATGATTTTAGTGTTTATTGATTCAGAACATAAGACATTCATAGTTTTTATACCATGCTAGGATGACATCAGGTCAAACATGATAATGTCTTCATGTCCACACATATAATGTAGATAACTCCAGGTCAACCTCGACTTTCTGTGATTAAATCTTTTGTAGTGTCAATAAGAGTTCTTTTAAAGTTCTGAGCAGGATATATGGGTAGAGAAATAAGGTAAAAGATTAATGGAGATGGCAGCAGTTATCAAAATACAAAAAAACAGTTTTGAAATATCCCATTTTATTTTTTGCCATTATTAATGTACAATGTTTTACCTCAACAATCTTACTACTCAGGACCAGAACACAAAATATTTACATTAATACTTGCTAATCTTATGTTACAAAACAGCACTATACTTGCATATACATGTATTACAATGGTTATTTTTTTTACAAATATACGCCAAGAAAACATTTTTTTTTTTGCAATTACAATAAATATTGCACAGACTTTGGGGGAAATTGTTTCCCATCACAAATGAAATAATGTGGACTTCTTATAAGCTTCCATTGTAAACACTATGATAAATCAATGATGTTTTTTTTTACAATTTTTATAAATAGCATGATGAGATTCTTAACTCATATTCTTATAAAAAACTTTCTTGGTTGATGAAACAATCACTTGTTCACAATGGATCCAGAGGAAGTAACGATGAAGTTTTTTTCATTAAATTTTCAAACTAACCTAGCACTACAAAGTTTTCAATAACCAAACACACATAATTCACAACCATCTGAGATGAAGTCCAGTCTAAGATTGAATTTTGTATACATATTCATGTATATATAATACATCTGTGACTGAGTACAGTGGGATTCATTTTCTGTGACTACAGAAGACAAAGAGGAACAGATAGGTTGTCTCTTACTTTTTCAAACCTAAAAATAAGAAGGGGAATTCTAAATTTAACCTATAATTAATTTACCAAAAATAACACAACAAAAAAACAAAAAAAGAAGAAGGAATTAAACCAATACAGAATGATTCAACATTATATTTTTTTAATAGATAAAAGGTCCATATACATATGACCTTGTAAACATATATTCAATCTGAAGACTGGACTCTTAACATTCTTCATTACATACACAAAATAATAACTCTTCAATCTTAAAAATACAGCCAACACTACTTTTGTCATTCAGTCCACCACACAATAGGTTAGATCCAAGAATACAAGCTTCACTTTATTCCTTATCATTGGAATATTTGGTGAATGAATCTGAAGATAAAATTTCTATTTATAAAATGGGCATTGCACTTTTATATGCTCACACAAAGTAACTCAGAACACATCAAATACTATAAATAGCACTTATGCAATGGCAGTTCTACTATGATGGATATGTTTGAATGAGATATTAGTAATTTACATCCAGAAAATAATCTATTTGATGGTACTTTATTTCTGAGATCAAGACAATGACTAATGAAATTTTGACTTATACAACAATAATAACTATATATGAAAATGATAAACAAATTTTTGAAAAAAAATTACAGTAAAATTTAAGTTTGAAAATTATCTGTTGAATGAATATCACTGCTATAGCACCTTATTCAACAGACATGATTGGCGGATATAACTATTCCTTTTGTCACACTTATGGAATTATCGAATTAGCAATCTATGAAACATTCAGATATTTTGTTTATATCATTACCAGTTAGCATGCAGTGTTCTACAATCATATATATAAAACATTCATATCTGCTCTTACATTATGCATGTACACTTCTTTTTCATCTATATCAAAATTCCTCATAATACTACTTATCAAATTGTAAAACATTTTCTCCCATTATAGTATTCTAATTTTTGACGCCTATTCTTTTGTAATGGTTTTCTTATAACAATCTTTTACTTTAACTTTTTTTTTTTAAACAACTACATAGGAAAACCGTTCTTAAAAATTGATCTTGCTTGTAAACAATTTTCCATGTTATTTCTTTGTGAAATTGTAGCAATTACTTTAGTAATCAAAGATCGCAAATACATTACTCTTTCAACATATATTTTGAACTTTTTAATAATTAATATATTTTTTTATATATCATCTGGTATTCTAATTATGAAAGGAATAAAATCCTAAAGACGCTAGAGCACAAATTGATTGATGTAGTTTGATGGGCTACAATATGTTTGAAAGCACAAAGATAGCAACCACTGTTAAGCTCACAAAATCATGATTCTAACATTCAGCACACATATAAATTATAAGTACACACTTATTACTTGAGGTACATTATCTGAAAGCCCACATTTATATATAGCTGATAATAATCTTCAACTAAGGAATATTAAAAACTGGACTTCCTAACAAGCTTAATAGACATTACAGATGTTTGCTTAGAATACTGTATTACTTTATAAAGTCAAGTATGGATTTCTTAATTAAGTCAACATTTCACATTCTTATTAAAGTGCTTTCACATGATAGACATGTTTTGAATGTATATTATAACATGATATATGCCATCAATTTCAATGTCATTTTTTTCTGATGTACTTAACATGAACTAGTTTTGAATTCTGCAATTTCTGTTGTTAAAATGGTGGATCTCAATGGACCAATCATTCCATTATGATTTTGTTGAGAAACACTGCGTAGCTGAGATAATGCAGTCATCAGTTTGGCATTAGCATTGTCAAGAGTTTGTATTCTCCTTTCCTGTGCCTCAATGACACGTTGTTTCTGACGAACTAATGATTGCATCTCCTCTTGGTCTGCCTTTAGTTCCTTCTCGACAGTCATCAATCTGGGAATAAAAGATAAAAAAAAAATCAGTATTTTTGAAGAGTAAACCATCAATGTTTATTTACATTGTGTAAAGTTATTACTTTATTCTGTTGAAATAATGCAATTTCTAAATAATCAACAATTTAATATCGTCCAATTTGGATGATCATGACAAAGAAATGATTAACTTCTTGTTTTTGTGTCTGGGTTGCTGCCTCACTGGTATATAACCCCATAGCTCTTTTCATCAACACCAATATTTGTTTTCTCTACTTTTTCCTTTAGATTTCCTGGCCTGTTTTAATATTTATTATTTACTGTTATATTAAAGCTAACACAAACCAAAAATAATAATTAAAAATTTCTCTCATTTCTGAAATTATTCAAATTTACACTAATGCTGTTACTCTGATGAAATAATAAAAGAATTAATAGTTTCTGATTTTATACTTCATTGTTTTTAAATGTAAACTAACTACATATGCTATCAAGAAAGCAACAACATCAAACAATTAAGCTTGAAACAAACAAAAACCAGCACTTGTTTTGTTCTTGTTTATCTATTGCCTCTTTTTTTTTTTTTTCTTAATCTTAATCTTAATAACTGTTATTAATCACTGTATACTGAATACATAAAGATAATAGAAAAATATATAAAAGTCCTAATGTTCTTGTTACACAGAAAGCAAAATATAAGTGTTCCGCATAATATTTACAATAAATAATTTTAGTGATACATGTAGTAATTCAAGGATATAAAACTATGTGACAATAATCACAAGAAACTACTGATATTATTTAGGAGAGTTTCGTAAATAATGTTCAAAACATTCTTTTAATATTTAAAGAAGGGATTATTTTTATCAATTACTATAGATGCATTTTCAGGACCTCTTACAGATAAATAAAAACTTTCTTTTACATCAGAAATAGTGGAGACAAACAAAGAGAACATATATAGTACTTTATCTTTTAACATATTTCCCTCCAAAAATTAATCACATCTTATATAACTTTAAGGATGGACTACTGGAAATGATTTGTGCTATCTCTATTTGCTAATATATTCTAAGTAGATGTATTGTAACTACATTGAACATGTATCAGTGCATCATACTGTAGGTATAGCATTCAGGATTTAGGAGTATAAAGATCAGGAATGGAAATTTAAGATAAGGAATAAGTATATCTTAATAGATATTTCTACTTCTTATTTCATTTTTTTGACTTTAAAAAAAAACATTCTGTCTACTACTTTAATATAATAAAATATACGAGATAAAATTGTTTTGAATTTGAACGTATTAATGTAAATGGAATAGTACCATACTGCAAAAGACATACCTTTAAGATATTTAATTTAAAAAGTAATTCAAATAAAAGTTCCTAACAGTTAGATATGTATGTGTTAATATAAATGTTAAATATTTTTCTTTATATAAAAGGCATTAACTTCTGATACTATAACCCAAATGTATTACAGGAAGCAACAGAATGCTCATATTAAATAAGCATGTTAACCAGGGGAAATTGTGATTTGAGTCTTATAGAAAATCGCTAAATTTTAGAACCTCTCTTCCAATCAACTACTTAAACAAATATTATTTTACACTAAAACTATGAATTCTTGATCTTTTCACCTATGCTATGAAAACTATAATAATCAAATACAATTTTCTTTATTCAAAATATTCTGAAAACTGAGTTATTAAAAAAAAATCAATAAAAAAGTTTCCTGCCAAAATTTTTTTAAAAAAGATAACAAGAAATATACATAAGAAACTTTAAAGTTTCATGCAGAAATTACTCCATGCCTGAAAGAGTTGACAAGTAGTGTTCAAAGAAATAACTAATGATTCAGTTCATGCTTAATTACAACTTAATTAGAAAATTACCATTTTATATACTCGATACAACTGAAATAATATAATGATAATCATTTTATTTACAATTTTCATTGGTACATTTAAGAATTTTTGGTTTCTTAAGATTATCTCCCTTAGCATAGTTTTGTTTCAACATGTTTACTATACACAAGAATATACATTCTTTTTTTTAAATTGATCATAAAACCATGAATAGTGTAAATCAAAAAAGGCACTTCAGAGTATTTCTAATATGTTTTTTTATTCCTAACATCTACATTGAATATACATGTAAAACTTTGGAATGTTCCTCAAGTATCATTTTCCTAACCAAAAAACCTACGACACTTATGCTCGTTTAAATATGTAGTATTTTATGCTGCTATTACAAAGCAACAAATTTTGAGACAAAAAGCATTGTGCAAGAAAAAAAGACAACTACAGAAAATACTAGAGTGGTTCTACTTAAGCCAGGCATGAATTCCAAAAAATGAATTTTCACCACAGATAAATGACGTCGTTGTAATTCCATGCTGAATCATCTAACCTTTGTATTATCTGTTTCATCTGATCGTCTTTTTGTACTTGTTGTTTACGAAGTCTTTCTTCACTTTCAGACAGTCTAAATTGCCAATCATCAACCAACTGCTGTGTTCCTGTTTCATGTTCCTTCAACCTATCCTCAGCTTGCTGAAGCCGATCTTGTGCTTCGTTCAACTGTTGTCTTAACGTTTCAACTTCACTCTCATACTGTGAAAATAATTATAATAGATGAGTTACAATTCCTATTTTGTTACTGTTTATGTTAGATTATATGAAAAGGGTTTTTTACTTTCTGAAAATACAGTTAAACCATTGTTACAGTTGATTTACATGTATAATTAACCCATCTGCATACCATCTTTAGAAAAAGTATCCACATTCAGCAAATACAATGTATCACAAATTGAACTGAATGAAATGATAATGGCAACAAGTAATTGCCATATTTCTTTCTGAATTATTTGACCTGATATACAAATATAACTGAACAAACCATTTGAAATAAATGGAGAATGTTTCCATGGGACACAGATGATGCCCCCGCTTGCATATAACGTTATAAAGACACAGAACTAGAGAACTGTAAAAGTGACGCTACCCAAAATTTTAACTTGATCTGTGTTTTGTGGTAATAAGCATTGTGTATAAGTTTCATAACATTTGGTTGAAGCAAACTAAAGTTAGAGAACGGAAACCAATTTTGGGACTTACATACAGACAAGGGTAACACTTAATGCCCCCTTTGCCTATAGGAGGGGGCATAACAATTATGTAGATAGAAAGTGTGTGTTCTACAAGAGTTATTATTACTTCTTCAGTTGTCAAAATCAATATAACCTATATTACATTAATAATGAATTACTTAAGATGTGGGTTTTCTTTGACTGAAATTGAGCTGAGTTCCATACCAAAAAAAAATTTTCATATACAAGATTAAACATAATGAATAATGTTCTTTGTTATCCGATTAGAAAAAAATAATACAATTTTATCTATATATACCTCCTGTTTTGTTTTTTCCTGTTCCTGTATTTTTCTTTGTACAGACTTAATTCCCATATGTACAGCATTATTCGGAGAGAGTTTCCGTGAACCTTGATCGGAATCTTCTGTGTACGACCTATCACCAAAAGAGTATTTATGTGAACCTTTGTCAGAATTGTCTGTATAATATTTATCACTATATCGACTAGAATTACTGGTAATATCACTATTACTATAAGCATGACTTGGTCCATATTTAATATGAGAAGAAATGTGTGAATCAGTAGCAGTCCTACGTATTGGATCGTTATATCTTTGTCTCATATGCGAAAAATCCATACTGCCAGTATGGGAAAGTTCTTTAGGCCTGGATGGAGCCCGACTCAATGAGTAATGGTTACTAGTTGTATGAGATGGAGTAATATTACTATTGCGAACATCATCACTATTTTGAGATGAAACAGATGAATGTAAATCTAATGAAAATTTCACTGCATCACTCGATGACTGTACAGAATTAGATCTTGTAAATTTTGTTGATTCAGTTGTTGACATTGCAGAACTAGAACGAGTCATTTTATACAATTCTTGTTCTAAAGATTCACTACTACTTGAACTGGATAATTTGGGGGCAAGATTGCGTAATGGGTCATTACGCTGGGGACTAAATAATTCTCTGTCTGAGGATTTCACAGGACTTCTATGTTTAACAGTGTCCTCTTCACTACTGGCTGATCCAGAACTGGATCCCTGTCTGATGACGTTAGGACTAGACATTGAATGTTTTGCACTATTGAACTGATGTCTATACACTGGATTTGAGAATGATAATGGTTGGAGAGGAGCCTGAGATGAATGAGATTTAGAAAAATCCTGTGTAGTATTTGGATCAATAGGTGAACTGGATTGACTATATCCGAAAGACTGATAACCGGAAGATGCTATAGTAGATATTTGACTTATAGATATTTCACTCCCATTCATATTGTGATCAGAGTCCATTGATGAATTATGTACATCCTCATCAGCGAAATGCAACAAATCAATATAGTCTCCTTGGTGGCTTTCTGCCACATTAACAATTTCACTCCAAGATTCATTCACTCTTTGTTCATTTGATACACTTTTCACTGATACATTAGACACATCATACTTAGAATTTTTATAAAATCCAAAATCATCATCTGTCTCAACATTATTTTCAGAATCAAACACGCCCAATCTTGATCCTCGCCTCCCACTTAACACAGGAATATCCTCCCCTCCACAAAGTTTTAACATTTCCCTGACAATTTCTGTAGGGGAGGTGCTAGTTTGAGGAGGCATGTTGACTAGATTGTCATATATTTGGGATTTCCTGTTCTGTTTTGGTGGTGGAATCACCAAACCAACATCTGGATTTTCAAAGGCAGTTTTCAATTTACTTAAAATGCTTGGCAGTTTTCCTAAGCTGGATAAAGAATCCTGAAACAGACAATAAAAAAATATATGATATATGGCAACACTTTGTCAGTATGAAGTTTTATCCCTATAAGTAACCTTATCCAATCATATGCCATTCTGATGTAAAATTATCAGAAACTAAGATAACAATAAAACACATTGTGTAATGTACATTTACATTATTTTGTTTTTTTTCTACTTAAAAGCATTAAATATAAAAGTTTGTACACAGATTCACATTATTCTATTCTTTATTACCTCTTTGTAGTTGCAATGGTCTTAATAAACAGGTGAGTTATAACTTACCTGAGGGCACTTTTCTAGAGATTCTGTTAACAGACTGTGTAAAATAGATAATTCTTTACCCAGGTCAATGTACCCATCAAACTCTAGAAACTGGTTCCCTCCATTTGTATCTGTTGACTGGTAAAAAAAAAAAAAAAATCATTTATCAAATCCTGATATGTTGATGATTAAATAATTTTATTCTCAACTTATAAAAAATTAATAAATCATTCTTTTTTCTTGGTGTCGTTCCTTTGATTTCAGTTCTTTATTGGTCAAAATTCAATTATGATGTCAAATTTTCTTGTGTTCCTCTGAATTTCCTATTGTGATGTAGAAAAAAAAGATGACCATGCCTGATGACATTACATAGAAAGAAAAAAATCTTTTTGCAGATCATTGGAAAGAAAATTTAAGTTAGTCTGCATATCATCTACACATCATTAGAGAAACAGATTCTACCACCAAATCTGGTGTGATACAATATTTCTCCACTCTTGACAGTTAAATTTAAATATTTAAAATGCTCTGCGAGCCTCGCGTTTTAAATTTTCATGTCTCAAGTGGAAAAATATTGCATTACACTCGATATCTATATATATGAATAGTCTGAAACCAACCAACTTAAAACTTGCAATAATTTTATCACAATATTACTGTATAACTACCCCAATTCTAAATATTTTTGTATTGTAAAAAAATAAGATGTGGTATTATTGCCAACGAGAAACCTATCCACAAGAAACAAAATGATTGATTGTTGGTGTATTAACGCCACTTTTAAGCGCCACATTTGGGCTATTTCGTGGCAGCCAGTTTTTATTGGTGGAGGAAACGGGAGTGCCCAGAGAAAACCACCAACCTTCGATAGGAAAACTGACAATCCTAGTCAATTAAGATTGGAGTCGAGTGCACCTGCACGAGCGGGGTTCGAACTCACAATCTAAGTGTTGACTGGCTAGTGATTACAGTAGTAGAACTACTTAGACCACTTGGCCACCGAAACAAAAGGATGAGGATGTACAGCACTATAGGCCATCATAGAGCCTTCATCCATGATCAATACCGAATACTGTATAGTAAGCTATAAATTGCCCTGGCATGACAAAATATGAAACAATTAAAGAGAAAACTAAAGGCCTAAATAGCAAACAGCAACCATACAATAGTATAAAAATAGTATAAAAAAACTTACTGATATCTGTTGGAGGAACTGATTCATACTTTCACTATGCCGCTCAATAAAATCATTCATAAATGTCATATATTCTTCTTTGGCTCCAAATCTGAAAATAATGAGAAAGTTATACATTTGAGTAATCAGACTTCATAAATAACTCTTATCTCAGAACTTTGATGATCATTTATTTAATAAATTCCTATATGTAATGTCAAGCATCTGTATGTATGTTACTAAAAAGCAGATAAATTATCATAAAGATTTGTAGTAATAATGCTTATAAAATATATTACAAGATAAATTTATAGTTATAAAAATACTTAAGTACTTACTTGGTAAAATTTGCAAGAGTTTGGATTGTCTTAGCGAGTAGAACAAGATTCCTGGCAGCTTTATCTGGAGGGTATTCTGAAATACAGACAGATTTCTGAAGACTATCATCTCATTGATTTAAATGCATTAAATGTAAATTTCTGTTCTTATCTTTCGGATAATTTTATTTGGTTTTTGTTTATCCTTTTTTAAGATAAAAATTTGAAGCCCCTGAGTCCTAGTGTATTTTTTTACTATTTCATTATAGACATGGTTACAAATTTCAAATTAATTTGTAAACATAAATCATTTATTACTCAACAATCTTTAAATATTTTTATATTAAAAACTGCTGAAGCACGCCTCCGGGTGCGGGATTTTCTCCTCTCTGTGTTGAAGACCCATTGGTGGCCTTCAGCAGTTTTCTGTTCTTTGGTCGGGTTGTTGTCTCTTTGACACATTCCCCATTTCCATTCTCAATTTTATACATGCAGTCAAATTGTATTGATATCATTTATAAATATGAAATATGGTCACTAACTATTTAAAGCCATATTTTTGACATTAACAGGATGTTCATAAAAAAAATGTAATATTATTCAGAATTGCAAAATCCCTGATCTTTTAATCATCTAATTATGTATAAAATCACATACTTCTTAAAAAATTATCTTAAGTGTTTCTGTCAGACATTCTAATATCAAAAATAACAATACATTTTTTATTTATCAATTTTATTTGTAATTGGCAGGAAACCAGAGAGGAATGTCTGGCATGTTTCATATTTCTATTTCTAATCCTAGCCTAGCCTAGCCTTGAACAAAAAATGTTTTAACCCCTGAAAGTGTAAATATTCAATATTTACTATGTATGTATATATTTCATATGAATCAAGATTGGGAAAATGAATGTTAATAACCTGAATTACCTTGTATTAAATTAAATAAACTAGGTGACATTATAGCTGGACACAGGAACCTAAGAAACAATGAGGCACTTATTAAATTCTCTGCTGTATTCTCTCTCTCCATCTCCAAACAACGAGAACGAAAACAGGCGAAGACATCTCTCAGTTCACTGTAAAAATAATATATATTTAACACCAAAATGAAAGTTAGGAAATGTAGTATGATTGACAATAAGACAACTACCGGTATCTACCAGAGTTAAAATGACGAAGACAAAAGTAATTATAGGTCACTGAACAGCCTTCACCACTTATTCCTTTCATCATAAAGATCAATGATATAAATAAATTATATACAGTACTCAATTCTGTTGAAGTTGTGACTTTTTTATTCTTGTCAATAACATAAAAAACATCGTTACATATTGTTGCTATTACCTATACAATATTTTTTTTGGGTGTGTGTTCTGTATCTAATATTGAATTACCTGGGGAAATAGCAGTGTGAATTGATGATTTTGGCAAAGACCATTTCACTGTACATGTCCAGTATACTTTGGTTACTCTGTAAGAACTGTGGAGTAACTTTTGTGGGATCTACCTCACAATCATCTCCAGATTCTATCAAAGACTTCACAAACTCTGTCATCGTATCTTGTAAATACTATGAAAATACAAATCATTTAAAGTAAGTCATATAAATGATAAATTAAACTCATTTACACTCATATTAGTCATTTACTTGATAATATATTTTAAACTGGAATACTTAATTGAATTTTTTTCAATTATTATCAATTATCACAATTTATTCTATTTATTAAATTTATTATATTCATTTTAAAATATTTCTATTATTTTTAATTCTTACCAACACTTTGTTGATAAAGATTTATTTTCTATAACTAACCTTTTCACCAACAAGTTTCATGTAAGCCTCCATTGCTTTGGTTCCGATAGAGTTACCTCTCATTGTAAGGTGCTTGTTATCTGAACAGGAAAAAAACAGATTCAATTGATGTAGTTCCATTACAAAAAAACAATATTAAAAATTACAAATTTACCACCCAAAATGATTGATATTTTGGCTTAAACCAATTAAAAATAGGAAAGTAGTAACATATCATTTCAAATTACATAATTTGACAGTTCTTGAAAAATTTCATTTCTTTTTTTGTTTGTTGAGAAGTTTATTTATTACTTCCTAGAAAAAATGCAAATATTTCAGTTAAAAATTCTAATAGTTCCATTACACATTTTGTATAAGTAAGTAAGCATTCAAATAAGTGTGTTTAATATCTCCAGTAGTGATATCCAAAGTACTCTTACCTAGCCGTGACACTTCTGCCATTATTATGTCTGTAAGGAAATCCTTAGCTTTACCAAGTTTCTGTAGAACATGAGCTAAACATGTAGCTATATCTTCTTTATCTTTTACACTGATCACAGGTTCTAATACTTCACACAACTGACAATAGTCTGTACTCAAATACTGGGAAAAAAAAGAAAAAAAAATTTTGTAACCAACATTAACATGTCAAAATATATCTGAGTTATCTCCCATTGATTGGAAAATGGCTATTATTTCATCTAGATATTTCAAATAGCACTTATTCATGTTAATTATTTCTATGGACAAAATATACCTAATATAATATATCTCATGAAATAAATCAGGTTAATAACTTTAATATTCTGTTTATGATTGAGATTACTTATATGAAAAGATATACTTTTGTTCTAATTGTTTTATGATAATATCATACTTCTAATGGTAATATTTTCAGAGCAAAACATTTTACCATTTAAAATATGAAATTTTGATAAAAGAAAATGGCATGAATACCTGAGATAAGTCTTTATACATATCAACAGGTAATATCTGTACTGTGTGATATCTTGCTTTAATTCTTATTAAAGGATTTTCACTTTTGTTCTCTTTCCCAACTCGACCTACAGTTCCTGATGTTGAGTTGAACCATTTCTCAACAAAGGTCCGGCCTGTAATTTCCGAGGCTGGGATGTTTACATAACCTTTAAATAAAAACAGAGTATTACATTGAGCATATATACATTTAGTTAAACATCTTTAGTGAATACTGATTAATACATAAGATTTCAAATTTCTGCTTGAGAAAAATTCATTTATAAAATTTATCAGTGTGTTTTTTGTCTTTCTATATTGTATTCCAAAATAGATGAAAAACAATGATAAATCTATGCATCTCTGATCAATCAGCTCTATAATACCATTACATGCCTTTTTAAAGCAAGCTATTTTAGTGCAACTTGTTTCCATGTTGTCCTGAATTAAGTGACAAAGTGTAGCCCACGGCAAGTTTTAATGAAACATAATATCTAACTATAACCACAAGTGTACTAGATTAACCAAAATTACATTTCTAAATATGTCAAGTAATTTTGTGTTGTCACTGTTTATTTCTTAGTGCTATGCATATTGTTATTATCTATAGAGGTTCCTATATAGGATAAGACAGGTATTTTTTATTACAGTAAGGACATTGGGTAATGTATCTACCAGGACAAAATATTTGTCTAACCTATACTGTGAACTTAGGACAAATATGTATTACCTATAAACTGATTTTTGTCTTTCTTTTTCTTTTTATCAGCTTCTCTGTACAAATTTACTGTAACAATCTGTGTGTCTCTCAAGTTACTGAAAAAGAAATGTTCAAAAGTTTATTAAACAAAAATGTTAAGTGTACGTGTTAGGCAAAACTTTCAGACAATAACAAAAACAAATCACTGTGTTTCACACAACTCCACAAAAAAAGGTCCAGAAATGTAACTCCCTGACACTTTTGCTGTTGGTGTTTAGTGTGCCAATAAGCTTTTACTGTGGGTGTTTAGCGTGCCAATAAGCTTTTATTGTGGGTGTTTGAGTGTCAAGTGAAGTTCTTCATAAAGTGAATGTAACAAAATGGTTTTGGCAAAGTACCAACTGGCATTACAAGTATCTGTAAGAGTTTACACTCTTATAGTATACAACTATCAAGTTACAAATTATTAGTGCTTTGCAATCCTTTCTTATATAGCTACACAAGATGGCCTATTACTTGGTTTATACTAGCTTATTTGTCAATGTCTATGTCCTATAAAGACGGGCAATATATCTGAATGTAATCAACAACACAATCATTTTGTGTAATGCTTAAATAAGCACCAGAATAGAATGGATAGGGGCCAATCTTAAGACATCTTTGTAATCAAATTGCATCATATTATTTTTACAGATATAGAACAGATACATGTATAAACATGACAAATGTCCTATTTTTATAGTCTTCTAGTGTAGTCCTTGGCCTATTCCATATTTATCTAATTCTATATTTATACACGTGTTAATACCTTGCTTTATTAAGACATTTACATCATATTTAAATTTGTTACCCATGCTTGGAATCACAATGACTGATCTACCTATGTATATTGACAATCTCTTTATTCTTGTTTACCTTGTAAAGTTATCTATTGCAACATTTTAATCCTATTTCATACATGAAGTTCAAATCTTGTGACATAACAGAGTTATGTAAAGGGGGGTAATAACATTTGATACCTTGATATATCTTCAGAAATGATAATGGCTATCATTAAAATAATTATACATCTGATATAATTCATTGATGAGGAACAATGTATCAAAACGTGTAGACTGTATTGTAAATAAGATCTCAGACATCCTTCTGTTATGTCATATTCACTTTGCATTAATGAGCCTCTTTAGCCTTGTTGAAAGAGAGTACAAGCAATTTGTTTGCAGAAATAGTTGTATCACTAACAAATTATATTGTTTACTTCCTTGGCAACACAAAGTGAACTGTACAGTCGGAATATTTTGCTCATTTTAACTAGGTTGTGCAGGGTACCTGGGGATTGAGATGTTTAAAGGTTACACAAGCTATCTCTATAACGAAAAACAAAGAATGTGATATTCTACTTTGAAAGAATCTATTTCCTTGTACTGTGAATACTTTATAATTTGTGGGGTACCAATTATCAGGGAGTTTGTGGGTAAGTGGTAAACCACAAATTCAAATGTCACATGACGTTCAATTTTTCTATATATCATGTGCAAGCTCCACGAACATAGATTTTTCTCTCTCAAGGAAAATTAGTACCCACGAAAAATAATGGAATCCATAATATTTCTTTTTTAATTTTTATTAAAAAAAAAAAGAATTTTCCACATGGTATACTTACTTGAATTCAAAGTGTTCTCCCCAAAACAACATTTCAGATTTCATTTTACTGGAAGTTTTGGCATACAATGTTCGATCTAAACAAATTTCACAGAAATACCTGGAAAAAAAATCATATTTGTTAAACTATGTTTTGTGATATATTATTTAGATTTCTTTTTACTGGGAATGAGTGTATGAGTATTTGGTTTGTTTAATAAAAACATATTTCAACTATATTCTTATGTTTCCCATGTGAATGCCTTCCAGCAAAACATGATCAAATTGCCATTCCTGACAGCTGTAAAAACTGACCAGAACATGTGGTTTAAAGTTAATCTTTGCTTTGATCTGCTTTTCCATAAAACCTTTGACCTAAACAATATTTATTTGATACTATTTTATTAGGAATGTGTTGCTTTTTTAAATGGTTTGAATTTTTTCTCTTACTTTTTCAAAGGTTAAAATAATGTCATCCTTTTTATTTTTATTTTTAAATTTTAATAACCTTAATCAAATAATTTTTATGTGAACCAATGAAAGTAATCTAGATTAAGAACAAATATAATGTACATGTCATTTTCAATTTATCTTTTTGCTACTGGTTTATTTCTTAGATGTAAAAGTAGATGTCAATTTCACAACAGGTTGGAATACTTCATTTATCAAACATTTTCTCTGAAGTTTTCTCTGATAAGAATGCAAAGGATAATCATAAAATGTAAACATCCTGCAAATTCATTAAAATAATTTTGTCATTTATTTGAACATAAGCCAGATTTCTGGATCTTCCTTTCCATTTTTTAGCAATTAGCCAACTTTAGTCAATCATTTTACAGAAAACTGCATCTCAACTATCAATAATGTAACTTTAAATATTTCTAAAGCCAAATTACTATTTAAAATAGATTTATCATTATTTTTTTACTGACAAATAAATCTGAGAAGATATTGTAACTTATCAAAAATTGTCCTGAAAGGGCCCTGAAATCTTCTGCAGTATTTGCAATTTCCAAAATGTAATACAATGATTTTTTATTTGTCAGTAAACCTGACAGGTCCAGTGAATTTGAACATGTCTGTTATTAAAATGCTTTTGGTTATCCTAAAGAAACTTTATTGTTCATTACAAACATGTAGTTATTTTGCCAACTATGAGAAAGGTTATATTGTAGGGGGATCATTTTTCATGTTTCAATTGGCAGGTCATAAATCAGGTGGACGCAGGTCACTTTGCACCACCCTATAAAAGTCCTAAAAGATTACATTTCATGTCATTTTGATGAAAACTAATCTTTTTTTTTGTACCTACTAATACTAAATCCATACAAAGAAACAGCTTGCTGCTCAGTAGAGTTTGGTATTCACATAGGACTTAGTCAAACATTACATTAGAGAGTTTGACACTGATGACAATACTTATACCACAGCAAGTTATCATTGGTACTATGGTATAAAGAGATGCTAACAGCCAAAGTTATGTGATCCCACAAATACTATTTGAAAAATGTTCTTAACATCACTTTTTATAAATTCCTATTTTAAGTAAACCTCAATAAGGTGATATCAGAGTGTACTTTTTGTTTTTTAATTTTGATATTGTAAATTCTACAGATTTACAATTTTTATCAAAACATATTCCATATGTACAGTATTGTATACTTTCTTCTTGTCATTTATACATATTTGTTAAACTATGTTTTGTTTATTTTGTAACAAATCATATCAGCTGATTTATAAGTCAATACAATTTTGAATTTTGCATTGTATTTGAAGTTAATATTATAAAGCCTGTACTTCCGTTTCAGTATATAACAAGATTTTATCTCAATATGAAATTTTTAAGTCATCAGCAATTTCAAAGTGGGTTGTTTTAAAACAAAACAGTTATATACTCTTTAACCTAAGATTTTTTATAAACATCACCAGTTAGGTACATCAAAGGAAACTGATGATTATTTATCAGAGTACTTGTTATAAGTATACTAGTGTAAAGGTCATAAAGAGTATATGTAGTACATGATAACAATGATGTTATACAGTACAAAAAACTATGTACTACAAGCTTTCTGTGATAAGTACTTAAATGGATCCATGGTATCATGTATGGATTGATCATGTTCTTATCTTTTGCAAAAAATATTAATTTCTCGAATAACCTGTATTGCTGAATACTGACTTAATTTCTATTTATAAGCAGCAGCCATCTTGGATGCTGCTTGAAGAGTTTAAATGTTCATTGAAAGTTGGTCATTTAAGGGAACATTACTAACAGAATTGTTCATAAAATCATTCTAATTTTTATATAATAATGATACACAAGACATGTGGTACACTAGTTTCCCAATAAATGGGGAATGTGTCCATGGGACACAGAAGATACCCCCGCTTGCATATCGTATAAATTTATAAAGGGACATAACTGAAGAAAAAGTAAAAGTGATCCTACCCAAATTTGTACTTGATCTGAGTTTTGTGGTAATAAGTATTATGTATAAGTTTCATAACATTTGGTTGAAGTAAACTTAAGTTAGAGAACGGAAACGAAAAATTCAGCAATTTTTCCATTTGTAAAGGGCATAACTAGAGAACAGTAAAAGTGACACCAACAAAATTCAAAACTGATTTGTATTTTGTGTTAATAAGCATTGTGTATAAGTTTCATAACATTTGGTTGAGGCAAACTAAAGTTAGAGAACAGAAACAAAACATTCAGCAATTTTTTCCATTTGTAAAGGGGCATAACTCTAGAACGGTTAAAGTGACACCACCAAAATTCAAACTTGATCTGTGTTTTGTGGTAATAAGTATTTTGTATAAGTTTCATAACATTTGGTTGAGGCAAACTAAAGTTAGAGAACAGAAACCAACTTTTGGACGTACGTACGTACGAACAAGGGTAAAACTTAATGCCCCCTCCGCTAAGGCAGGGGCATAATAATTACTAAACCTGAATTATGATAACACATGTATATATTTGTTAATTAGCAATGCTAATTCAATCTTGACTTGCCAAACAGCTTAAAAGACACCAATACTTACTTCTTTTTAGAGGGTACATTTTTAGCTTCCTTTATCCATAGTTTAAGAGAGTTGTCTGTTCTCCGTATATGTTCCTGGTTTGGATGAACTGATTTCCTCAAGCTGAAATTTATTTAATTAAACAGATTTCAATAAAGAAAAAAAATTATGCCATTCTATGTTTCACTCTATGTGAAGTGATGTTTCAGCTTTTATAAAGTATATTGAAATGAGGCATCAGAAATAGGTGTATAATGAGTAAAAGAAAAAAAATTGGTGCTTCAAAATGACTCCCTTTTCCTCTCTTTTCTCAAATTGATTGAGATGGAGTGGGTAGCTTCAACAGATGTTCTGAATACCAAATATTCTGCAACCCCTCCTCCAGATCTGTCAGTTTCTCATGATCCAGAGAGCATACAATATCAGTGTCAATTAAGTATCTGTGTACTATCTCATTTAAAATTCAAAGCTTTCCTTTGTGTTTTGAATCAATAATATACAAAACATCAACCACTTTTCCAGCAAAAACAACTTTTAAATCCTGAATTTGAACTTTTGTCTTTCTTTCAGGCTGCCAAAATGAGGTTCATGTGACTCATGTCCATCAAAAGTTACATGATAATGACCATGTTTTTTGTTTAATGTTAATGATTATGTTAATACTGAAATGTGTTATATTTTGTTTTTGCTTGACCCATATGAGTGTAATTTTTGCTTAACCCATATTAGTATAGTTTTTGCTTGACCCATATGAGTGTTATTTTTGCTCAACCCATATGAGTGATATTTTTGCTTGACCCATTTGAGTGTATTTTGCAATTGAGGTTATTATCAGTAATGCTGTTGCATTACCATGTTTCCTGTATCTCTTGTTTTATAAACAAAGAAAGATTAACAACCAATTTCACTGAAATAACATTGATAGGTCAAACTTACTGACCATGTACATGGTATCAGATTTCTGATTAGGATCTGATCATTGATAATTTTACTGGACCAACGACATATGGTCTTCAGATAAGTACTATCATAACAAACACAAAGGAATCAAACAATTTTATTTCCCATAGAGGACCCACTATGTATGGGCAAAATCGGTGTGGTGATTAGGATATTAAACATTTACAATATAGAAAATACAAAAGAAAAAACAGCTCAAACATGGAATATAATATGAGTTAATAATATAACCAATTTATTATAAACCATAATGTTCAGACAATGCACCAGAATCAGCATCCTATCCTTTATTAATAAGTCGTTATGAGTCAAGTCCTCGTTGCTGATGCATAAGAACAAATATAATAGTTATCCAAATGCAGGAGTCACCAAGGGCAGGTGCTTAAAGGACACTCAAGCAAATAAACATAGATATGAATAGTTAAGCACTTTATAATGCATTTTAACAATGTATTTTAAGTCTCATCTTAATTCTCAGTTAATAACTGCTTACAAAATTTTATCCTAGCTTTAATATCCTACTCCACAGAGAGTGGAAAAACTCCAGATATAAGACATGTTAAAATGCTACTTTATTTCTATAAAATTTGACCAATGAAACAAACTTGTGAAAATTATGGTTCCATAAAGTCTAAGGGTGTATTTTTATTTTCAAGTAAAACAAAACAAAACTATCAATTGACAATGATAATTAAATTGTTTTGGTTTTTATGGTCAATGGTCTGTCAGTGGGGGAGTATAAAAATGTCTTAAAACCAATAACATCCCCTTCAGGTCATGGTTTTCTCAGTATTGTTGTCACAAAAAAAACAAATCAGTGTTTATCTCAACTATCATAACATTATATATTCTGAATTTTATAACTGCTGCAGGGTTTAGGCGAGTAAGACATGTCCTGTAACAGTAAATAAATGTCTTACGATAATGTCTTACGATACGCCAACACTCCACAGAAATACACGATCAAGCGACTGTCAACTTGTCAAGTACATTTTGGTAATGGTACGAACTTGAACATATAACTATTTCATTGTAACAGTACTGCAAAACAGGAAATATTAAAAACAAGGAAATTTTTGCATTTACTTTTACACTATGACCAACTCAAAAAAATAATTTGTGTGACAAGGTAAGTATGGTTGCAGATGACTGTAAAAGTACACACCAGTGATTTGGATAAGGAGTGTATGTCAATGTTACAGCAACCCAACATCACAAAAAGCTGTAAAACATCTGTTGATTAACATGCCATATTTTACAATAGACAAACTGACAATTATCAGTTATACACGTTTTACCATTTTATTTGAGGGTTTCAATTTTCATGTTTTGTAAAAACATTGTTGGTTCAAAGATTCTAAATTTGTAGACTCAACTGGAATTTTGGATTTTGTTGGGTACTGTAAATTTGGCAGTTGGAAGGAACTATGAAATCTACTATAGTTGGTTCCACATGAACAATAATACTTTCATAGAATCTTGGAAATATGAATGTTTAGTCATTAACTTTTAGTGTACAATTTTACCCCCATTCTATAAAAAAAGATGCTTCCAAACTCCATTAACTATAAATGATCCACTCATAAAATCATATAACAGTGTTACAAAAAGAGAAAATGCTTATCTGAATTAAAATCTTTTACACTTTATTTTATTTACCATTCATAGACTTGCTAAACAAATTAAGGCATTGTTTTCATTCATTAAAGTGCTTCTGACTTTACAGGCCAATAAATGACAGTTGGTGGAACCATCTTAGAAAAAAAATATACTTCTGGAGAACCCTGTTGGTCAATATCTAAAGAATGCTAGATGACTCAGCATTTTTTTATATTATAAAATCTGGTATGTGCTCTGCTTTTCAGAAAGGTTAAAAATGTAAAAATCAGACTGAATTATCAACATCTTATCAAAAAGTATAAAAGTAAACAAATAAAATCTAAATCCTTGGTTATTGAATCATTTTGACATCCAAATAATAATTAATAGACACATACCTTCCTATCCATTTCTCACGTTCCTCTGCAGTCCGGCAGGAGATGTATTTACTTCCGTTCGTTGTTGAGACTTGGAAACAATGATCCTGACCAAGAATGCTGGAGTGCAAAGGTTGAATATCTAGATCTGTGGCTGTCAGGTCGATGGCGTGCATGTTGACGTGGCTTGTTAGGAGGGACTCATGGGAACGAGATGATCTGATCCGTGAGTTGATCAGGTTCCTGAAAGGATAAGTAACAATGTCAAACCAGTCTTCCACTTTATCATGAAGACTTGCTGGGAGACTCAGCAATCGATTAAATCCTGGCAACATTTTCCTCTTTTTTATTTTCATGAGATCAAATACAAAGCTACATTTCTAATCATACAAATTTAATGCCTATTGTTGCACTAATTTGATTTCCATGATGCCATCAGTTTATCAATAATGTCTGCTGTAATTCTAGTTACATTCCAAGAACACTGCAATTATATAACGAAGCCAATTTTTGTCAACATCCAACAAGAAAATTTCTGATGAATGTCCATGTCTATGAATTCATTATGATTATCCAAATTCTTGTATATCTACAAATCTACATTCAGTCTATTCATGTGAAGGATATAGCAAAGGTCCAGTCCACAAAGAATGATCCAAAACACATATGAATAGACTGTTTTATCACATTCCAATGTAAAGGAACATAATATAAGGAAAATAGGAAATCATCAAAGTCAATAATTATCGTTTAGTGACCATTAAAACATAATCACAATGTATTTCCAGGTGTTCATTTACATATATCTGTCCTGTAGGGCACACTCATAAATATGTAAGATCAACTTGCATGGACCTTAAGATATGTTCATTTGCAAGTTAATCTGACAAGTTCAGCAACTTAAATATATACTGTTGAATAACAATTGAGACACTTCATACAAGTGTAGAGTACACTATTTTTCCATTGTAAGTAACAGAAAATCCAGATATATTTACTTCCTTGATCTGAAATGTGTACACAGCTTCATTAATTTTTCCAATTTGACAGAAAGCACATTTATCCATAAACTTAAGCAACATTAGAAAAAAATTCTCCATTAAATAAGGTACATATTTAGCAGAAATGTGCTGAAACGTCAAATGAACCTAATTGATCATTTATCGCTATTTTTTTTCAAAGGTTACTGACGTAAATTGTAAATATCACATATATTCCTTGTATAGTAATAAAAAACCGACACAAAATATCAGCACAAAAGAGAATTATTTATCTCTACAATAAATATGATCTATCTCTATTCTAGGTCTAACTGAACAATGAGATCTAATTACAGAGTCTGGGTAATTGGTACTAATCCCACCTTATATCGGTACTAATCCCACCTTATATCATGATTCATAATAATGGTTTCCCCAATGATTCAAACAATTCTACATTGTTTCAGCACCTTAGACATTAGTGAATCAACTTTACAACAGTAATAAGCATAATTATCAATTTTCAAAAGTCCAGGTAAATTTCAAACAAGGTGAGTCAATTTATTGTTGTTTATTTTCACATGGTTTATGATATTTGTTTCCTCTATAATCTTCAGTTTATGGAGAAATCTTCTATGCAAGATTATATTGTTTCAACCAAAAATGTCACTAGTATTGATATTTCCTATTTTCTGGATGAAATTGACATTAAATCAATCTTGTGTACAGGTAAACTTTTAATGATGATATATTTCAATTTCCTGTCAGCTGTGTACTTGTGATTTTGACATTAATTTTTCAAAACTTTAAAATCATTTCAAATTATGAATGAAATCTTCAATATTTGTCCCAAGGCAAACTGTATGTTATCAAATTTCATCAATGAATTAAAATGTCAATTTAAAATTGATTACAGTACACACTTGACACTATTCATCCACTGGTACAAGATCAAAATTGAAGGAAACTTTCACTGAACCCAATATGCTGAACATTTCTAGTTACAATTACATGGGTGGATCTATCTCCTCCATGTGTACAATCAAAAGACGTTTATTCATGTGCTCTCTGCAAACATTACAGATACATCCAACTATTTGTGGGATCTACTGGTTAACATATTTTTCAAATAATTCATTTTCTGTTTCCATATTTTTTACACTTCAAGATGAGATGTTCATGAATGAAAATGTTACAATACAAGTCGGTCATAAATTTCCATGATTTATTCAAATTTTCAGTTTTTGTCTTTTAGTATTTGCAAATCTCAATGTTCTGAAACTGTGGCCAATTATCTATTTCCTTGTATTTTATCTGTTCACAGGGAAGGAAATATAGCCAGTTTCCATGACATCTATAAATACAGAAACTGACATATTTCTAAAATCAATTTAGAGGTCATGAGCTACAATGTACTTGTACCAGAATCCAAACGAATTAAGGGGTTTCCTGGCTTTTCAGAAGTGTTTACATATAAAGGCCTACATTATAAAATTCATATCAGATGGTAGATATCTTCAAAAATTTGGAATGAAATGTTTTTAAATGTTCACTGCTGCTAAAAAAACATGCATTTAAGTCCAAAAATAAATATAAAAGTTGAATCCAAGTTATCCCAATTATGCCTCAAAAGTAACCTCAGTATCAGAAAATGTTAATTAAGCATAAATAATTACATTAATTTAAGATGTTTTATCAGGGTCTGTGGTGTTTTTCTGATTCCCACCTTCTTCATCTGGTAAAAGTTATCTACTCCAAGACAATTACTTTACATAAATTCATTTATAAATAACTAAATTAAGTTATATTTTATATTCAAATTTAATGCTCTTTGATTGTTTGAATAAAAAAAACAAATATATGAAAATCTAAAACACAACGTGAAGCCTTAAAGGCAATATTTTGCTCCATATCCAAAGCTCACACACAAACTAACATGAAAACAAGCCTGGGAATGTTGAAGACCATTGAAATTGTTCTATGCCAGGTTGTAACCAGAAGCATAGAACATATTTATATAATATAAATACTAGAACACACCCGTGACATCACAGGTCTGTGACTGAATTAAAGTACCTATGCCTTATTTTTAGCCTGGATTTTTAGTATTCATATTGTCATCTGATAAAGTCATGCTCAGATTATAAGGTGCACAGTTTTCTCTGCTTTCAAATTCTTTATGTTTGTACCCTAGACCCGAAACTTGTTAATCATTGGTAATATTAATTATGTGGAAAACAAAAAGGCCTGGAATGGTGTAATTTTTAATCAACATCATTATCCTATATTATAGTTATATATAATTTATTTGATTAATCGGTTTTTCATCATGCCGGCTTACAAAGTTATTTTAGTAGTACATGTATAGATATCTACATGAAGAAACTAACTAACTTCTGCATAAACAAGTATTCTGAGAGTATTGCATGGCAATACATAGTCCCCTACCAGTTAAAAATTTATTTGTACTGGAACAAAATGCTAACTTGATCTGTAACCTGTCAGGATAAAAACTATTTACCAGTTAACAAATCAATATCTTCAAGTATGACAAAAAAAAAGGTGAGGAAAACTGATTATTTGAGTGAATTTTCTAAGTCCAAGGACCATAACTCTGAACAAAATCATCCAACTGAAACAAAATTCGAACTTGATCTGTAACTTGTCATGATTAAACCATACACCGAATATCAAATCAATATCTTCCAGCACAAAGAACTAGAGGCTCTCAAGAGCCTGTGTCGCTCACCTGTATTTACTGATGCTTTGGAAATCATGTAAAATAAGGTTAAAATCATAATTAATAGTATTAGATATTAGATATTATAATGATATCTAAGATAATAACAAAAAACTGCAAAATTTTTGTAAAATTACTAACTCAGGGGCAGCAACCCAACAACGGGTTGTAGGATTCCTCTGAAAATTTCAGGGCAGATAAATCTAAATCTGATGAACATTTTTGCCACATGTCAGATTTGCTCTAAATGCTTTAGTTTCAGAGATATAAACCAAAAACTGCATTTTACCCCTATGTTCTATTTTTAGCCATGGCAGCCATCTTGGTTGGTTGGCGGGGTCATCGGACAAATTTTTTAAACTAGATACCCTAATAATGATTATGGCCAAGTATGGTTAAATTTGTATCAGTAGTTTCAGAGAAGAAGATTTTTGTAAAAGATTACAAAAATTTACGAAAAATTGTTAAAAATTGATTATTAAGGGCAATAACTCCTAAAGGGGTCGACTGACAATTTTGGTCATGACAACTTATTTGTAGATCTTACTTTGCTGAACATTATTGCTGTTTACAGTTCATCTCTATCTATAATAATATTCAAGATAATAACCAAAAACTGCAAAATTTCCTTAAAATTACCAATTCAGGGGCAGCAACCCAACAACAGGACGTCAGATTTGTCTGAAAATTTCAGGGCAGATAGATCTTGACCTGATAATCAGTTTTATCCTGTCAGATTTCCTCTAAATGCTTTGGTTTCAGAGATATAAGCCAAAATCTACATTTTACCCCTATGTTCTATTTTTTGCCATGGCGGCCATCTTGGTTGGTTGGCGGGGTCATCGGACACATTTTTTAAACTAGATACCCTAATGATGATTGTGGCCAAGTTTGGTTAAATTTGGCCCAGTGGTTTCAGAGGAGAAGATTTTTGTAAAAAGCTAACGACGACGGACGACGGACGCCAAGTGATGAGAAAAGCTCACTTGACCCTTCGGGTCAGGTGAGCTAAAAAAAGTGTGGAAAACTGATTTGCCGGACAGACAGACAGACAGACAGACAGACAGAGTGCAAACCTAATAATGAAAGGTGATATCAATGTCCTCAAACTGAATAATTTTGGAAAAAAAAACAACAATTTAACTTTAACAACATAATATGCGCTGATTTTCAACTTCCTTAAAACATTCTGGTGGGAAAACAAAATACATACATAACCTTTACATATCGTTTACAAAACAAGAAATGGACACAAAGTCATACAGCCAATATAAAAAACTTTGGGTAAAAACCAAAACTAACAAATTTTAGTAAATAGGAAAAACATTTGCAGCTATGATCTTTAATAATCCATTTATTTTTTGTAGCCATATTTTACAGTCCAAATAATATACCAAAAAACACTTTGACTAGAAATACCTCCAAATTATTGAACAGGCGCCACTAAGTGGCCTTCAATATTAAATGAAACATTAATAATAATTATCTGGGGACACTAAAATATAATTTCATCAAATTAAACA